TCTTCTTCCATCAGCACTACCACCATCATTCTACCTGCCAAAGCCATATTCATGCTTCAGAAGTATAATGCTTTACATATCTTTCATGAAACCAGCCTCAGATTCCTCAGACATGGTGGATTTTTCCCTGTGTGTTAATGGCATGTTTTTTTGTGCTTTTCTTACATTACTGCCATGACTCCCTAGTATCTTAATAAGTTTTTATCTTTTTTTTTAAGATTTTATTTATTTATTCATGAGAGACATGAGAGAGGCAAAGACATAGGCAGGAGAAGCAGGCTTCTTGCAGGGAGCCTGATGTGGGACTCGATCCTGGAACCCCGGGATCATGCCCTGAGCTGAAGGCAGACACTCAACCACTGAGCCACCCAGGCATCCCTAATTTTTATCTTTGATTAGATAATTGGTTTCTTGAAGGCTCATTATTTTTGATTTCTGACTTTACTCAACTATTTTAAGAGAGATTAATTAATAGATATTCCTGGCTCTTAAAAGGTACTCAATAAATATTTGTTAAATGAATATACTATATAGTTACAAGGAGTTACTCTTTCCCTGGTTTGATGAGGTTGGCTCAGGTTTGGAGGAATGGCGTCAGGCTCCACTACTCACTGGGATAGTGGGTATTCTGAATTCTATTAAAAATTGGTGTGGGGATCCCTGAGTGGTGCAGCGGTTTGGCGCCTGCCTTTGGCCCAGGGCGCGATCCTGGAGACCCGGGATCGAGTCCCATATCGGGCTCCCGGTGCATGGAGCCTGCTTCTCCCTCTGCCTGTGTCTCTGCCTCTCTCTCTCTCTCTGTGACTATCATAAAAATAAATAAATTTAAAATAAAATAAAATAAAATAAAAATTGGTGTGTTTTCCTTGTCTCCTAAGAAACACTGGATGCAACTGTGGTTCTCTAAAGTGCTTTGTAGGTAGTAAAATTAAATATTTGTGAGTTGATTGATAAACCTTTTTCTTCTGGTCTTACCTTTCCAAGCCATGGTAAACTGGTACATTATAGGTAAATTCTATCCAGGAATCACATTCTGTTTTACTTCCCGAAAGTTTACGCCAGTGAACTTCTCAGTTTGAGAATCAGTCATTTCTGAAGAATAACTCTTTTTTAAAAAAAAATATTTTATTTATTTATTCATGAGAGATAGAGAGAGAGAGAGAGAGAGAGGCAGGCAGGCAGAGACAGGCAGAGTGAGAAGCAGGCTCCCTGTAGGGAGCCTGACACATCCCGGGCCCCCAGGATCAGGCCCCGGGCTGAAGGTGGTGCTAAACTGTTCAGCCACCCGGGCTGCCCCTGAAGAGTAATTCTTAAGAATAAATAAAAATGAATAAATGCTTGCTTAATTGATTTTGGGCCAAGATCAGTGCCTTTTGATTGGGAGATACTAAGTTAGGTGCTACCTGTAATGCAGACAGGGCTAAAATGAACATCTACTTTGGGCCCAGCTTGAGTCCAATCCAGGTTCTACCACGTGGGCAAGTCACTTCGTCTCAGTCAGCCTCTTTGAAGTTCTATTTTCTTTCCTGGAGATAAGGGATAATTATATCCACCGAATTTTTGTGAAAGGTAGAGGAGGTATGTGTGCAGGGTGCCCAGTTCAGCATCTAGAAAATTAGGTAATTAATAAATGTTAGCTGCTGTTATTCCCCTTTCCTAGTTCTGTGTGTGTGTGTGTGTGTGTGTGTGTGTGTGTGTGTGTGTGTGTGTGTTTCTCATGCTGGGCTGCTGCTAACCTGCTGCAGAATAAGAGAAAATGAGTGGGCCAGCTGCTGTCACCAGACATTGGTTTTTCCTGGAGAGCAGTTTGAGTAGTGACTTCTTTCCCATTACCCTCCTGGTTTGGCAGGGGCTCACACCCAGAATTGTTTTTGTTTTTTTTTTACCCTTTATCTTCTGTTTTACTTCTCCCCAGTGAAGTCAGGGGACCAGAAGCTGTCATCACCTCTCCTACTCCATCTCTCCCCCTCCCAACTCCCAGTTGCTGAAGAGACCAACGCCGCCACCTGCTGGAGGACTAGATTTTCTTTGTTCAACTTGTGAAAGGGCTTCTGCATGGAGATTGAGGTCTAGAAGACCATTTCTTCTCCTCCCCTCACTGAGTCCTCCTTTCTAGCTGGAGTCCACATTACAGCCTAGGACTTGTTTTCCTCTTTTCTCCTCTTGAACCTGCATCTCCGAGAGGGAGGAAAGTGGAAATAATGCCAGACTCTGAGTTAGGAAGCACACTGTTTTGTCACCTGAGCCTTGATCACCCCAGTTTACTTCTCTGAGTTGTAGTTTTCTCATCTATAAAATGGGAATAATAATTCCTGGATTTTGGCCTTATCAAATTATTGTTACAAGATAAAGGATGCAGAAAGCTTGATAAACTAAAGTGCTATTTCGATGTAAAAAAGATTCCTGCTCTCCCTCATTTATTTATCCAAGCTGGGCCAAGCTTGGAGGGGCCATGTGCCAGACTCTACACCTCAGGGGCAGAACCTGGTGAGGCTACCCAGGCCTTATATCCTGTGATTGGCTTCCATGATCTTGTCATTAGGAAGGTATAGTGCCATAAGCCAAACCAGCGATTTGCTAGCTCTCAACTCCCCTCAGCTGTGCTTCCTACAGCTTGGTAATAGGGGCTGGGAAGCTTTGTTCCCCTCTTCCTACTCCACTGGAGACTTCAAGAAAGAATTGTGGTGTAATCTCCTCTCAAAACTTTGACTCAACTCCTGTGGATACTTGGTAGACGGTCAGAACATTCTGGGAGTTCTCTGAAATGATAGAATAATACTTGAAGCTACTGCCGAGTGCCTGCTGTATATCAGGCACTTAGTGCTGATAATTAATACTTATCTTGTTTAATCCTCATGGCGTCCTTTGAAGTAAATATTTATTATTTGTAGTTTACTGAAAGCAGAGGTTCAAAAAAGTTAAGTCTTGGGGCACCTGGGTGGCTGAGTTGGTTGTGTCTGTCTTTTGCTTAGGTAATGATCCCAGGGTCCTGGGATCGAGCCCCACAGTGGGCTCCCTGCTTGGCTGGGAGCCTGCTTCTTCCTCTCCCTCTGCCTGTTGCTCCCCCTGCTTGTGTTCGCTCACTCGCTCTCTCTCTCAAATAAATAAAATATATTTAAAAAGAAAGAAACAACAAAAAAGTTAAAGTTAAGTCTGTATTCCAAGTGACACAGCTATTAAGTGGCAGCTGGAATTTGAACTTTATTCTTATTCCACAAGCGTTGGCACTGACCAATGTACCACAAGGCCTGCCACTGCTCTACAGGAGGAGGGGCCATATGCTACAGAGGAAAACTCAAGAGATTTCCAGTAATGTGCATGCAAACCCCACCCCTGCCCATGGGATCTGGGGCAAGCGGCTTTCAACTTCTTGAGCCACTGATACCATCTCATTACATCTTCACCACAGACATGTGGCATAGGTGCTGTTCTCATCTCCATTTTACATTTGAGGAGAGTACGTATGCCTCATGAGCCTCATGAGATAAAATGACTTGCCCTAAGTTACAGAGTAGTAACTGGCAGTGGCAGAGCCAGAACTCAAGTCTGGGTCTAATGCCGAGTTCGGTGGTCTGTCCCTCCTTTCTTATGGCTGTTTCCTAAGACCTTGTGTAGCACTCAGGCAAATGAATAGCTCTCAATGTGTTGATTAGGAGCCTGTAGGGGGAGCAGGAGCCACGCCTCTTCAGTCTCTCTCTTCTCCCCTAATCTCTCTCTGTTAGAAACCTTATTGAGGCAGTATAAACATTTGAAATTCAAAGGAAAGGTTATGCATTGCTTAAAAACTGCTTGAAGCCCCACACAGAAGCCTAGGAACCTGCCTCCCTTCTTTTGTGTGTTTGTGTTATTACTTTGGCAGCACAGTATGGTGGTTATAGTTTGGAGAAAGTTCTTTCTGGGCTTTTCTCTTTATCAGTATAATCTTAAAAGGTTGTTGTGTTGGAGATGATACATAGCTGGAGCCTTACTCATTGATGGCAGCTGTTTTCCTTGGCAGCGGGCTCTGCTAAAAACCAGAGTGGAAGTCCAGGGTCCTGGAGCTCTCACCCCCTTATTTTGTGACCCTGGGCATGTGAGGCACTGTCTCCAGCTAAACTGGATGACCTCTAAAGACTGTCTCCAGGTAAACTGGATGACCTCTAAGGACTCCTTCCACTTTTTTTTTTCCTTCCACCTTTTATCCTCTGCTTTTTTAAAAATAAAAGTAGGAATGCCTTTTTTTTTTTTTTAATCTAACTGGCAGAATTATATGAAGTAAAAAAAGACTCCATCTTTCCTCCATTCATTCATTCATTCTTGAGGTAACTTGTTGCCAATTTGTGTCCTTTCTATTGTTTTCTGTGTATTTTAAATATATACAGGTATGGGTAAATGTGTATGTGTATGTATATATTATACACATATGTAGTATGGTAAGCACACCAGAATCTAGAATACATACTGTATCATGACTTGGTCCTTTCACCCATGTGAGGCATATTGTCTTGTTAATACCTGAAGACTTAACTTACTTTTTTTTTTTTTTTTTAAGATTTACTTATTTGAGGGAGAGAGAGTGAATGAGAGAGCAGAGCGGGGTGAGGGACAGAGGGAGTAGCAGACTTCCCACTAAGCAGGGAGCCTGATGCAGGGCTTGATCCCAGGACTCCGGGATCATGACCTGAGCTAAAGGCAGACACCCAACCAACTGAGTTCCCCAGGCGCCTCTTAACTTATTCTTTTTAATTAATGCTTTATAATTTATTAAATGGTCTCCTGTTGATTACGCCATGATACTTTATTTTTTTTTAAATTTATTTATTTATGATAGAGAGAGAGAGGGAGGCAGAGACGTAGGCAGAGGGAGAAGCAGGCTCCATGCACCGGGAGCCCGACATGGGATTCGATGGGATCGCGCCCTGAGCCAAAGGCAGGCGCCAAACCGCTGCGCCACCCAGGGATCCCACGCCATGATACTTTAAATGTATACATGCAACATTGCTTTTAAATTTTCTTTTCAGGAAAAGAAGAAAAAAAAACATAGAGACAGGAAGTCGTCTGACTCTGACAGCTCAGACTCTGAGAGTGACACAGGCAAGAGGGCAAGGCACACATCAAAAGACAGCAAGGCAGCAAAGAAGAAGAAGAAGAAGAAGAAGCACAAGAAGAAACACAAGGAGTGAGAGTGGAAAGAGTAGAGGGGGTGGTGAGAGGAGGAGGAACCAGGAGCCTTGTGCCTTGAAGCCCTGGCTCCGGGAAAGACTCAGTAGTGTGAATATGGCCTCCCACCCCACTGACTTTTCACCCGCGGGAGATGGCTTCCCCTTACGCAGCAAGCAGGTTTGGGAGTTAGATGTCAAAGCATCTGCCTGAATGAGTTGTTAACTTATCGTTCCTGGTCCCTTTGCAAGTGACCCCTGCAGCTCACCCATTCATTCACTCAACTTCCTTCATTCAGCAGGAGGTCCTATTACCCTCTCCAGCTGCCACTGCCAGAGCCAGATTCATGGGACTCCTGCACGGGAGTCCAGGCTGCAGCCACAGGTACTGCTGTGGAGGCGAGTCTGGCTGTAGTTGGGAGAACAGTGAAGGGCCCCCCCGCCGTCGGGTCTGCCCTGGGCTGATTGGTGAGTGATCCCTGTGGCGTCCGACACAGGGGCCGAGGGAGACCAGCAGGCGGAGGGAGAACATGGTAAGAAGTGGTGCTCACTTTCTCCATTCCCCCAGTGTGATTCTACCAGGCTACAAGGGACAGCCCGAAAACCATTGTTTGCAGCGATTGAGCTTATGTGGGACACTCGGCCAGACCCCTGAACCACATAGCTCAAGCCAAGATCATTGCTTTATTTTGTATTTACTACTGTGTGAGTCAATTGGTTCCACTTCAGGTCTCTGCTTAAATTCCTGGCATAAACAGAAGTGTGTTTGGTTTTAAATTTACTGAAATGTTCTTATTGCTATAATCCCTTTTCCTTGGTAATTTACAGACTTACAAGTCACTGAGTCTGCATTAGTTGACAGAAAAACATTTAATATGTTACTTCAGATCTTGGAGAGAGGCCCAGATGAGGTACAGAGCCAGAGGCACCAACAGGTCACAGCCTTCTTAGGAGATCACTTATAAGCCCTCCGTTCCATATGACTAGATGACCTCTTCCCCCAGAGCTGATTAGAGAACCAGTAAGAATTTGTAACCATGGATGGCCAAGGGCATAGATGGGAGCTTAGCAGTCATCTTGGCCAGTGGGCATTTGCTCCCACCTCTAAGGCACAAGCCTGCATCCTGTGTCCTGAGCCTACATTCAATTGGAAAGAGAGACCACAGCATCCTAGCGTCCTACAAAGAGCAACTTTCCAAACCTAAGGGCATACAATGCAGGATGGGCCTGAGGTGACAGTTTAGTAGCTGAGCCTGGGGAAACTCTGTCACTGATTGATTACTCCAGGTTGGACCAGCTCATTTGGCCATGCGGAGCGGCAGTGTAAAAGCAAATTGTAGGTACAGCTGTTTTATTACTATGTGTCTCAAGTGACCAGCTACCACTGTCCCGGAGACTGTCCATTTCAGTCTCATGCAGGGCTGCGTCTAAGTGACCTTCAGGCAGTCATTTCTGCCTGTTCTCTGACACCCAGGGAACCCGAGATTCCCAGAGTCATGTCACCAAAGGCAAAAAGGCAATTTGGTGACCTTGGCTCTGCTTTATTGACCTTAGAGCACCCTTCGGATGCAGTTAAAAAAACAAACATACACAGTAGGAGCCAGAAGTGGACCCAGGCTGGTGCCACCTGACTGCAGAAGAATTTCCCCAACCCAACCAAGGCGGACTTATACAAAATGAGGAAAAAAATGAGGCAATCCGGTGCTGAGTCCAGGGCTAGCCGACTGGCATAGGAGCAGACAGTGAAGGAGTGGGCAGGTCATGCCTCTTTCTCGTAAGTACGAGTGCAAACTGCACTGCCATGGGTAAGTGTCTGGAAGGAAAGACAGAGCCAGGTTAGGGCAGGGGTGAGGGCTCCTAGGGTACTGTGGCACTCTCCATTCTGATGGAGAGAGCTTTTACCTTCATCCCAGTGGTATTCACTTATTAACCACCTACTACGTGCCAGGTACTTTACATGTATTTTTTTCGAATACTTACACCAAGCCTTTAGTTTAATTGGGCACTTAATTGCTCTGTTAGAGATTTGGGAAAAGGAGCTGTGAGAGGTGAATTGACTTGGTCAACATCTCAGGGTGTCTCTCTTGCTGCACCATTCCTCTAGTGCCTCAGATGGTGCCTGGTACATCGTAGACAAATAGGTGAATAAGAATGTCCAGGAAGTGCTGTGCTAGGCTACCAATTCTCCATTCCTTCCCTGAATTAGGGTAGTGCCAGAGCCTTGAGCCACCATCATCCAGCCTGGCATCATAGAGCCAGGCTCATGGTCTCACCATAGTCTGACTGCCCAGTGAGTAAGTAGCTGGTTCTGCATATCACAGGCCCACTAAAGCTAAATACCTCATTCTAAAGTCTGCAGGGCCCCTTACCCCCATGGTGATGCAAGAAGGCAGAGAGCAGGTTATAGTGGCCCAAGAAGGTTTGCAGTGAAGATGCTGGGGCAAAAACCTGAGATCCTACAGAATTAGGAGGCAGAGACTGAAGGGGCTGCTCTCTTTGCCTCAGATCGGGGGTGGTTCAGTCATGGCTACATTCTTCTAGTGAAGTCCCCAAGTTTGTCCTTAAATAGACCAATTTGCCAGCCTGGTTGTCCCTTCCTACCCAGGCTTTAATCAGGGTACTTGCAGTAGGCCAGGCATGGAAGGTACTGAGAGGCAATGGGGCTGGAATGAGGTGGAAAGGACTGAACTGTCATTGCCCCACCATCACCAGCCTGTCCTTGCCCAGAGGCTTTCTATGTGGCAGCATAGTCTGAGGGAGGAGACGGGAGCCTTTCCTAGGGGACTGTGATCCAATTTGGCCTTGCTTTCTACCTCTCCTGGGTGAGGGAAGGTAGCAACACAAGAGAACACTAAGGCTGTGGAGCAGCTGCGGTAGCCCTCTGTCCCATCTCTGTGATGCTCTGTGCTCTGCACCATGGTCTCCTGCCACCCAAGCAGCCCATAATCTTGGTGGTGTTAATGCCCATTTTACAGTGGGACTTGGAGAAGGTGACTTGTCCAAAGTCATGTAGCCTGTAAACTGAGATCTGAACCCAGGCCTGTGTGAGTACAAAGCTACCGCAGAGAAATTTCCTACCTAATCCCACCCTAGCCCTGCCTCTACCTTTGATTACTCCCAGGAGAAGACCCTGGCTTTCACAACAGGCTTGACTGAAAGGGCAATAATGGTAACCAACTGGGTGAGGCTCCAGAGTTGTCCATCTTACCAGGATAAGTTTCCCATCAACTAGCTCCCGCACAAGTGTTGTCTCTTGCCCGTTCCACTTCTGCACATGGACAAGTTTGCCTCCATCCAGTGTCACGGTGGACTGTGGAGAGAGGGTAGAGGCCTGAGCTGTGATCTGAGCCAGGACTGAGGGACAAGATGGTATCTAGCCATTGGAGCCACAGAGGACTCCGCGTCTGCCCCAAACTAATGATGGTGCCAGCCTCAGTACTCAGGTGGCCTATTTCCAACCTGGCCCCATAGGCTGTCTTATTCACCTCCAGCTCTGCTCCAGGATTGCCTGACTGGAGCAGGGGCCTCCAGGTATTGGGCAAGTAGAGAGAGGCAGGCAATATGGTGGAACCAGACAGCCTGGCTCTGAGAAGTGCTACCAACCTTCAGAATGGGTACTTACCTCATCCTTTAAATGATACCCATAGCCCTAGAGCCCTACCATCCTATATCCCTGGGGAAGATCAGTGAGGAGGAGTCCTGAGACTCTCCTGCCTAGTGGTGACCACACATATCATCTAACAGACCTTGGGGATGGAAAGTATTGGAAAATGAGACTTCCCACGTTTTATTCCTACCTCTTCTTGGTCCACATCATGTGGCCCTTTCAGCTGACAAGTAGAAAGCAACTGCCAGGTCCAGGGACCGGATGCCCTTGGAGTGTTCCAAAGCCCTGGTCAGATGCCCACTTAGTCTTCTGGACTTTGCCAGCCTGCATCAGCTGGTTCTCATTTGGCAGCTTTCCTGGGTCTCATCTCTTTAGGAATTTGGGGGCTCTAGGTCAGGCTAGGGGACCCTGGCCGAGCAAGGTTCAGTAGGAGAATCTGAGAAGGCTGTGTATATGTTTGGGGCTGCATGAGGAGTGGGTGTTCATCCTTGCTACCACCTTACTCATGTCCCTCCCCCAAGCTTTTTGTCTATTCAGAACAGATTATTTTCAGCTTAGGCATCCCAGAGCACTACTGTTTAATTAGGGTTTTTGTCCCTCAAAAAGGTGGGCTAGTCAAGGACACAGATGCATGTGACAGGGCCGATACCTTTCTATAAGGTAGAATGATATCTTTGGTACCATCCCAACTCTGCTGCCAGCTTCCTACTGATTCTGGACAGGGCTCCAGCTTCCTCCACAAGGAGACCAGACCCTATCGTGTCTTTCTTGAAGCAGTTGTAAAGAAGCAAAAACAGCTGAGGGGCTGACTAATAGGGTCTTCTGGAGGATACTGCTATAGGGACTGACTCCCTTTAGAGGTCAAGTCCCTTAGTTCTCTCTCTGCCATGCCTGGCCCAGGGGCTGGGAGGCCTGAGGCGGGCAGCAAAGACAGAGTCACCACAGGGTGACAAGCCCTGAGACTGAAAGTCGATGTCCCCTCCCTCCTTGGGAGGAGAGGGCTAAGTCTTGGTAGGAAGACACAGAAACACACCTTAGACAACGCTCTTTCCAGAACAGCTTTTCTTGCCTGCGGGCCGGCAGAATTAGAAATAGTTCCTCAGGCTCCCTGGCCAAGCCTGGAAGAAGACCTCCAAGGTGGATGTTGGCAAAAAGGAAGCATCTGAGTAGTCTCTACCTCTTGTCCCTAGCTGCCTCTTTTGCTGCTGGAGGCCAGAATGACCTGCTCACTCAGGGGGAAGAGCTCTGAATTCTCCTGGGCATTGTTCCTAAAGTACTTGAGGTCACAGCCATGGCCACATAACTCTCCCGTCTATGGATTGGAAAGAAACCCAGAGCTCTTGCATGCCATGCACAACGTCACCCGGCTGGAGCTGGAGTTGACACTGAGAGGTCAGAAGAACATCCTGGTTCTGTGCTGCCCACTCCCAAAGGCCCCAGATGCTCCTCAAGGAAGGGGGGAGGAATGCAGAAGGACAGGGCTGAAGCATCCCAGCACCACACATGCTTTATGCGCCTTGTTCATTTCAATTCCCCCAAATCACCTACCCCTCAGGGTACAATAATAGGGTGCCAAGTCTTAAGGTCTCCAATCTCTACACCCCCTTTCATGACTCACCTTGACCTTCCTGTCATCTGCTGTTGTCTCGTCGAATTCCACCCCTAACTTGAAGCTGATCTCTGTGTTCTTGAAGGTGCTGTGTGTTTTTATGATGATAGTGTCCCCATTCATTTCGATGACTGTGGTAGGCTTGGTCATGTTAGCCACCTGCCTGGTAGCAAAACCCACACCTGAGGGCAGGGGGAAGAGGATAAGCATATGAGTGGAGCAGAAAGGCAGGGTTGAGGATCTCTGCACAACTGTCAGGCTTGGATGTGGGGCATAGGGATGTGGAGTACGAGAACTTCCAGAGACTCCGGCTCTTTTTTAAATTCGGCTTTCCTGTTAGCTCTGTGTGGCAAAGAGACACTTGATTTCACTGGGCAGATGAGAGGTGTAAGGAGTTTAAGGGACAGGCATACCACAGCAAGTCATGGCAGATCTGAGATTAGGGCAGGCTACGTTCTTTGTGTTCCCTCATTTAGCCCTTCATTCTCCCTTGAAGGCACGATGTAGTTAACTCCACTTCACACTCAAGCCCAGGGTCACAGGTCTGGAATTCCAACCCAGAACTGTTTGACTGAAGAAACTCACACAACTGCTTAGCTATACTGTCTCCCAAGGATGGAGCACAGGCTCCTTTCCCGGACCCTCGAGTTTTCCAGCCACAGGCTAAGGAAAGAGAAATGCAGACTTTGCCTTCCAAAGCCTGAGGGACAAGCATTTCCCACCTTTGGAAGTTTTTGCCTTGAAACGCACTGGTGTACTTGTCCCCTATGTATGGCAGCGGGATATTTCCAAGTCCTCTTCTCTAGGACTTAAGGAGGTAGGCAGAAGGGAGTGTGTGTCTCTGTGTACAGCTTTAGGAGAGGCCTGAGTGCTATGCAGTTAGGACTCGAATCCAGGTCTCCTGGCTCCTAGTCTGAGGCCCTCAGGGGACTCCCCCCTCCCATCCCGGAACAAAGCACTCTTCCCTGGCTGCTGGGCAAAGCCTTGAGTGTCCTGCAAGAGTGAAAGAACAGCAAAGCCTTAACCCCTTCAGGTTATAGCTTCCTCGTGATCTGGCCTTTTGCCTCCAACCTCCCATCACGACTGCCTGCCCTTCTGCCCCCAGCAGCTGTGGTTAGCTGTGTCACAGGGTAGAGGTGAGGCAGAAGCAGCCCAGTGTAGCGAACTGGCGTGCCAGGCTACATACACTGACTGGACTTGCTGGAAGCTAGGTTCTTAGCCCATGTCTCGCATGGGTCCTTTCACTTAATGCTTAGAACACATAACAGCCCTGAACAGTAAGCTTTATTTTCCCCACTTTACAAATTAGGCTTGGAGAAAGGTGAGTTTGCCCAAAGTCAAAGATTTTTTCTTTGGAGGAGGGGGAGTAATGGACCTAGTGTGAATCTAGGCTCCAGAACTTGTTCATTCTTCCTCCGGGGCCATTCTTCCAGCATGTGCTTCCTCCCGGCACTGAGGCCGCCAGGTGGGCCCGTGATCACTGGTACTAACTAGGCTGGGTGTGTCTGCTCCCTGAGGGAGCTTGGTCTAAAACTAGAGGGGCGAGGGCAGCTTCTGCCCTGGCCAGTAAGGGATTTGGCCTTAGCCCCAACTATCAGAGTGAGTCAGGCTGATCCCACTCCCCTGTACGGAGGGCCTTGTCACCATACAAGGAGCTCCGTTTGCTAAGGGCCTACCCAGAGGTGTGGTGTGTTTGAGAAAGGAAAACACTGTGGGGGTGAGTGAGGGACTGAGTCAAGAGAAAATAAGACCAAAAAATGGGGCTGATAATTTTGGGGGATCAGAAAGAGTGGGTTTTACTTAGAAATGAAGTGGAAGCTATTTACAGAGAGCTGAGGATGATCTTTTCTCCTCCAAGGACCTCTCATCCTTTCCATCTGTGTATGGAGAAAAGCAGGCTGGATGTATTCTCAGCCCTGTAGCTCAAATTTGCCCCTTACTTTGGTCAAAATAAGGGAACAAGTGTGGTAAGGATGTTGCAGCTCACTTCAGGGACACAGGACTTCAGTTGGAATGTCTGCTTTGGGAGGAGGGGCATCCCAACTTCCCAACAGCTGCTCAGGGCCCACTGCTCCAAGAGTGGCTACTTTCCGGGAGTCAGTAGGCATAGTACCCAGCATGCTATGGTGGGGGCATGAGAGCTGTGACCTCAAAAGTCAACACTTGTCCCTATTTCAGGAAAGGGTTAGGAACAGAGGGGAGAGGTGGGTCTCCCACCCCTTATTTGGGTGTTTGCCAGAATCAGCCCCCCTTCCCTGGTAGGAAGGCATGGAATGTAGCTCAACTATGAACAATATTCTGGTTTCCTTGTCCCAGCCTGGGCCACTAGGATAATCTCATAGCTGGGAATTAAGAGAAAGGGTATCACCTTTTTCATCTAAGCCCATTTGAGGAGGGGAAGGGCCGAGGTCAATCATTAGTTTAGCAGTTCTACCACTCCCACCCCCAGGGTCTATAGTGGAAACTACTCTGGGCTGCACATCTAGAAATCTAGGTTTTCATATCTGCCCTGCCATGGGGTTTATATGACCAGTTTCTCTCTCTGGGTCTCAGGCTCCCCATCTGTCAAACTAGGCAAACAGGAGGGATCTCCAAGGACCTCATGTTTAAGGAGTCTGAATCTTTATTTTTTATTCCAAACAACCACACCTTCCGAGACCAAAGACCCTCCCTGTCTTTAGCAGATCTTGGCCTTCCTCCAAGACCCTGCTGCACCCTGGGAGCCCAGTGGTCTTCCCCACCAGACCCCGCCCCAACAAGGGGCTGAACCAGCAGGTGATGGGTCCTCTTGCGGCGCCCTACCACTAGGCAGTGATTAAAGCCTGGTTACACACCACTGCAGCACAAGGTCACGGACTGGATGGTGAGAGGGCATCCTCCAGCAACCATCCTTTCTCTAGTTCAACATGGAGGGGCAGGGATTGTTGCTAACCGTGAGGAGCCCCTATCTCACCGCCTCCTCATATCCCATTCACCCCTTGTTCCCCTATTTCCATCTCCCTCCTCCTAGGAGTTTCCACTTCTTTATGCCATAGTACACTCCCCATCCACCCCATTCCCTTTTTGTATTCACATTTTCCAATCCCAAAACCACCCGTGCTCCTCTTTTTTCCTCCTCCGGCTAGCCTCCCACCTTCTGCGATGGATGCTCTCTTATACAAACCCATCTATCTCCAGATCCTCTTCCTCGAAAGCGCCTCCCCGCCCCAACATCTACCGGCAGGCACATCTACCTCCTTGCCCCTCCCTACGTGGGAATCCCTCTGGCCGAATTCAGACCAGAAAGCCCCCCTTCCAACGGGCCTCGCGTGCCCTAACCCAGGCTGCCGCCTAGTCCGCGTCCCCCGTCCCCCTACCCCCAGCCGTGAGCAGCAGGGGCGCACGCAGCAGGCGTGCAGGGTACTAGCCAGCGCCAGAACGCTGCGCCGGGCCGCGCACGGGTCCCGAGCCACGCTCACCAATGGACTTCATGTAGTCATCGAAATTCTTGCTGTCCACTAGCTTCCAGGTGCCCACGAAAGCGTCCACCATGGTGAGGCTGGGCTAGGCCGAGAAAGCAGGCGACAAAGAAGCGTGCAAGGACTCCAGGACCCACGGTTCCCAGCCCGCGCTGCCGCCTTAAATAGCCCCGGTGTCACGTGGCGAGGCGTGGCCCATACCCGCAGCTCCCGAAATAGGAAGCCTCGGGCTGGCGCTCACCCGCCGGGAGCTGGCAGCCCATCCCCCGACCCGCCAGGCGGGAGGGGGCAGCCAGTGGCGCCTGGCTCGCCTGCGTCAGAGCGGGGGCCCGGCCTCCGAGTCCCTGACCCGCGCTGGCAGGACCTGCTCCCTTCCCTGGCCTCGAGGCGCTCCTCGAAATCCGAGAAGGAAGCAGCCGGGGGCACGGTGCCCGCGAGCTAGGGCCCGCGCCACGGACATCGTCGTCCCCCGGTGTCTCCCCGAGCTGGGGGTCAGAGCAGAGACGGGAGACCAGAGGTGAAAGGAGACGCCCTTGGGCTGATGCCCACGCCGGGACAGCTCGGCTGGCTCTCCGTGGCGCAGGCATCTTGGTCCTCAGGTTGCAGGTGAGGAGCCCAAGGCACAGCGGGGAGCTTGCAAGGTCACAGGAAACGAGGCGAGGGTTCATTGGAACCCAGCCTGCAAGCCCGGTCTGGCTGGCCCCGGAAGCAGTGGCTGTCTCACCACTCCCCACGCCACTCCCCACTCGCCGGTGGCGGGAAAAGTCGGCAGGGGCACCGTGCGCGGCTGAGCTGCCCCTGTGCCCTCCGCCTGCCCGAGGAGAGGGCATGACGCATCCCGCCCTGCCCTTCCTGCCCTTCCCGCCCGCACGTGCTCGCCCCTCGCTGTGGAAGGCCGCCTGCGCGCGCCTTTCAGCCCTGCCATGCTCCTCCCCCTTACCTTGGGGTCCTCTGACCAGAGTGTGGGGCCGAGCATTTCATCAGGTCATTTCCCCCCACACCTTCCTGGAGAAATTCTGTCCCTCCAGATGCTCTTACAGGCCCCAGGGCAGTTCCCCACCTGCTTCCCTTCCCAGACCTCTGCACACAGGCAGGCCTCTTGCAATTTCACGAAATGTCACCCACTTCCTTCAAACAGCCTCCCTTGCGGTGGACACTTTACAAAGCGCTTTTTTTTTTTTTAATTTTTTTTACAAAGCGCTTTTAATAGTAAGGTCACCTTGTATTGATATTTATTTCATGCTGAGAGCCTTAAAGTACATTTTCTCATTGAACTTTCAGAACAAAGTCGGCTTTATAATTACCCCTGTTTTACAGATGAGCAAACTGAAGCCTGGAGGAGTCCATTCATTTCTTAATCCAGCAGTTATTAATAACTGCCTACTCTTGCGTGGCCTGGGGCTAGGCTCTGGAGAGACAACCATGAATGAGACACACTCCCATTGCTCGCTTCTGTGTACACAGGCACAGAACTAATGTGACTCTTGAGGGGAGGCCTGTCCTGATCTAGGAGTTCAGGGGAGACTTCCCAGAGGAAGTGAGGGGTAAGCGGATGCCTAACAGATAGAAGGCCCTGCAGAAAGGAGTGGTGCCCAGCTGAACCTCAGCCAGCAGAGGTCCAGAGGAGGCAGTGGGGGAGGCTTGACGGAGCCGCAGGCACACTAGCCCCAGGGTTCCGCCAGCTCTGCCACTTGGGTACAGTGTGGTGGACCCTCCTGCCTGGTCTCTGTTTCTCCATGTGGAAGTGGAGAGCATCCACCCCTACTTCTGACTTTCTGGGAAGAAGCCAGGGAGGAAGAGCCCTCTCTTGCCCAAGGTCTTGTTTCTTTGGGACAGGTCCACTTGCCAGAAGACAGGGGCTTGTTTCTGCCAAAGCTGCAGGGACAGGCCTTAGGGCTGGGCATGGAGCCCTGGTGACCTCATTGCTGGAACAGGTGCAAGGGAGGGTAGGGGGGAGAGTGGGATGGTTTCTAAGTCAAGGTTACAACATTTAGACACTGAACCTCCTCTCTCAAGGACTGAGTAGCTGGAGGCCCGGTGGCCAGAGCTGTCACCCTACATGGTCCTTATGCCACCACTGCTGATGGGGAGAGCCAGAGTGGGGGCAGGTAGCTGTGGGCAGGTAGATCTGTGTGCCAGTTCTGATTCCCTGGGATATTCACTGTGTGGTTGTGGGGAATTCACTTAAGCCACTGTGAGTCTCAGTTTCATCTTGCAGATGTAGGTAATGACAGTATTTACTCCTTAGTGGTGTTTGGGGATCAAATGAGATAATGCATTTAAAATGCTGAGCATGGTGGACTTCATGCTCACTGCCACTGCTGTTATTGTTCCTATCGTCCTCGGACAGTGCAGGATTCTCTGAGCTGCTCTCAGCCCTGCCCTTCACCTGCCAGGCCCCCCACAGCAGATGGCTTGGCTTCTCTAATCCTCAGTTTTCTTGCTTCTGAGACAGGATTAGAACCTGCTGCAGTGGTGAGGAAGGGGCTGCAGAAATCTAAAGGATGGGTTGAGGGGGGGACACTGCTGGAAAGTCCTTTGCCCCCTCTCTCGGGCCTTGCCTCGGCCGAGCACTATGGAGACAACGCCTAGACCCACTAGCCTTGCTGCGCCACCCCCAAACCCCCACCACACCCCAATCTGGGTCACTGAAGTGGACTCCTAAGCCACACTCTATCTGTTTTCCACTGGACTTTCATTCTCCCAAGTGTGCACTGCACGCCTTCTCATTCCTCTCATTACCTGCGTCCTCCTTGCCCTGTTCTACTCACCACCTTGGGGAATGAGGGGCAAGGGGAAGGAATTCGAGCCCTTCCCTCTTCCTGCCCCTCTGTCTTGCCCTTGGCAGATCCAGATGTAGATACAACATCTGGCAGGCAGCAGGACCAGTCCTTGCCAAGAGTAGCATCTCCCCAGCCCTCGCCCTATGATGATGTCACTGTTCTGTGTTTCCATGGCAACTACCGGCTGGGAAGATGGAGAAGAGGAGAGCTGAGTAACCATGAGAGAGCCAATGAGATGGGCCAGCTGCACCGGATGATCCATGGGACCATGGGCGGGGCTGGGGGGAACGCAGGGAGGCCTACTCAGCATCTCTGGCTCTTCCCTGGACCCTCCCTGCCATCTGGACATCTCAAATAGGGGATGTGCTGCTGGCACGGGGAGAGATGTGGGAGGTAGAGGCCAAGGAGGCTGAGCTGGAGCCTCCACTGACCCAGGGACATATGGAGACCCTCCTTCGCCCCTTCAGGGCCTAGTCCGTGAATGCTGACTGCCCACGCCTCACTCCACCCCCGGTACCTGCAAATGAGAATTTTTTCTTTGGATAGTAGTGGTGGTGCGGCTCTCTGCCATGGACTCAAGATTTTAACCCTTCTCTACACACCCTACACACCCTCCCCTGGTGCAGGATGTGTTCAGAAGCAGGATCTTTGGAAAGAAGCCTAGTTCTACATCCTAAGCCAGCCACTTACTAGCTAGAGACTAGGAGCCAGTCCCTTCTCACTTCCTCTTCCTCTCCTTTCCTCCCAAAAGGGGAAGGCCATCTACTCTCAGGGTTGACATGCCGATTAAAAGAGGTGACATGTGGAAGTCTAACACACATGAATACTCAATGAAGGGTGATTCCTTTCTCTCTCTTGGTCTCCCCAGGGCAATTGTCCCAGAGATACACATGAATTAACCAAGGCTCTTTGAGACATTGAACCAACAGCAAAGGATCCAAGTATAACTGTCTCCTCACTTAATTGAGTACCTTCAGATACCAGAGAGAAGTTTGCACATCTCTCCCTTTCTCTCTTTAAATAATCCATCCATTCATTCTGCCAATCTTAATCAAGCACCTCCTGTGCCCAGACACTGTGCTGGGCTCAGTGGGAGGTCTAGGGGAGAGCCACAGCCCCCACCCTCCTTGAGCTCGCTGGGTGGGGGATTGCAGCCACTGTGGCAGGAATGCAGTGTTCTTTCTGCCACTAGGAAATCACTTCCTCGTTCCCCAAGAGTTCTAGCTACTCCGGGGCTGAGAGAACAAATGATGGTAAAAGATAGGGATTTACTCAACACCAGTTTGCTTCTGAGAAACTGCTGCCTGTGGCACATGCTCCCTGGAAGGAGCACAATGGCTCTCTCTGCCCAGGGAGGAGAGGGGCCAGTTCAGAGTTGTGGGGCAGTCACCTCTGCTTTCCCAGAAAGCAGCTGTCCTCCCTGTTGGCAGAATAAAGGCCAAACTGTTCCGCCTTGCTCTATCTGTTTGATTAGTCGAATTTATTACTGAAATCCTGTTCCAAGAATAGTGGCTGGCAGATAGTAGGCGTAAATGAAGGAATATTGAATGAATGAATGAATGAATATATGGAATATTGGATGAATGAATGAGTGAATGAATATATGGATTAATGAATGAATGAATGAGTATATGGAATATTGAACAACTAGTAAATGAATCTGTGAGTGAGAGAGTAAATCTGTCTCCCCTGTAGCTTTAGGGGCTCTGGAGTGGGATTTCACTTCCAATCCAGTGCCTTACTTACAGACCAGCTGTATGACCTCGGGCAAGTCACCATCTCTCTGGTCTATAGTTCTTTATCTGAGTAAAAGCACATCACAATTCCTATCCAGCCACCTCCCAAGGACTGGGAAGATAAGGCAGGATAAGTTGGGGAATGCATTACAAAGGTTAATTGTTCCTCTTCTCAGCCTCCTTCCCCTGAGGCTGCGGCCCTCCACAACCCCCAGGCTCCGGCCCCCGCCCGCCTCTCCCAGCCCCCCACACTGCCGCCACTCTACAGTTACTCCTGCTCACTCTTCAGCTTAAAAAGCCCCATCCTCCCTATCAGAGCACTGACGCTGCTTTCATGTGGTCATTTTCTTTCACACACACACACAAAAAAAAACAGGTAATTTTTATTACTATTGCTTAAAATTTGCAGTCTGACACTAAGTATGAACTGGAGGCAGGGAGGTTTTGTGTGTCTTGTTCACCACAGTATTTGCAGCACCCAGGATGATGGCTAGGACACAGCAAGTGCTTAATGAGTTTAGTTGTTCAATGAGTGAAGAGGAAAAGGCTGGCCAGAAGCCCTGTCTTTGCTCGGCCTGGAGTCCGCCTTTCCTGTTACACTGGAAGCCCTGCTAGGGCCAGGACCCCATTGGTGTGG